CCCACACTAAGTAGACATAACATCTATTAGTAATAGTGAGAGCCTATCTATAAGATAGAAGAAAACGCACTGCGTGACGATCCTGAAGTATATTATATACAATGAGATTGAGTAACCGTAAAATATCATCAACAGATGTTGGTTGAACACCTATGTCATGATTATACTTACCAGGAGCCTGATCGTGACAGCACATCACATGTTTTAGAAAATGCACCATATTTTGTTGTTTTTTTCCTGTGCATCTTCAAGAAGGCAGTTTAATATGTGAATGAGACTTGTTGTAGAAGTGTTTTTTAGAACAGAGAAGTTATTTTCCTGAAGAATGTTGTGTTGTTTACATATCATAGATATTCTCTGTGTCAAAATGAAAGAAAGTCCTTTACGAGTAATTTTGATGAGTGTAATGGATCTGGTTAAGTCTAAGTTGCCTTTCCAGTTCTGGAGTTTTGGGATGAGTATGATGTGTGAGTGTTTCCATTCTGTTGGCACATTATTATCAGAAAGACATTTGTTGTAGAGTTCAAGTAAAAAGGTGTATAGAGAAGATGGAGCTTTTTTGTAAAGAATGTGTGGTATTCCTGAAGAACTGGGAGTTTTGTAGGAGTTAATTATTTCAAGCATGTGGTTGAGTTCATTTAGTGTTATTGGTTCTGAGACTGAGAAAAATGCGTTATTAGGGATGTGATTTAGTGAATTATAAGTTGATTGTTATTCATGATCTGGCCATAAGAATGTGTTTCGTTTGTGTGTCCAATTTTTGAAGTGTTGTTTGGTCATGTTCTTGATTGTGTCCGAATGATCAGAGATACCATCTGCAGTGATTACTTTGTTAATTATAATTTTCTTGGGCTGTTTTTCTAGAATATTTGATAACATTAGGGAATGTTGTGTGCCAAATCTTTTAATGTTGTTTTGTATAGCGAGATTGATTTAAAAGATTTTGAATTGTTTGGTCATTATTACTTTTTCTGTTCTTGTTTGATTTTTTAATTGTTGTAACTGATCAATGACTGTTGATAATGAAAGTTGTGAATTCCATTTAACATATGTGTTGTTGAATTTTGGAAATGATAACTTTATTTGTATGAGATTGTTGGATATGATATTGTGAAGGTTGGTATTGTTGTGGAGATTAGAAGTATTGATTAGAGTAATAGTCTTGATGATGAGTTTGAGCCTTTTGTTTATTTGGGAAAATTGTTTTGAGAGTTGTAGAGTGCGATTTAGTTGTTTCTTTTTTAAGGTTGAATTGGCTGCTTCAAGAATAGTGTTTTTGATGAAGTTCCATAATGAATTGATGTCATCAAGATTGTTTGAAGATTGTGATAAACAGTTTGATTCTATATGATCATAATATTTTTTCCATGTTTCTGGAGGTAAGTTTTGAGTGATGTAAGCCAGTTGTTTTGTTTTTTATTTTTTTAGGATGTGTAGAGAGGTGCGATGTAATATATTTGTAGATGATAAGTCACAAAAGACAGATGAGTGATCTGTATTAATCCATAAAGGATCAGTAATTGCTGAGTGGATGAGTAAGGATGCGAGTTTTTGGGAACACCATATCATGTCAAGTCTTCATTCTGAGTTTTGGTGTTTCCAGATGGGATCAGTTCTTTGTGGATATATAATGTCTATGACTTCATATAGACCTTTAAATTGAAGTAAGATGACAATTTTATTTTTTGATGGAGAGAAAAAGTGTTCATTGAAATCTCCAAGAATGATGTTGTAATCAAATTGTTATAGAATATGATTTATTTTTTTAAAAAATTTGTTTTTTGTTTGTTTGTTATGGGATAAAAGTGATACTGGGAAGTAACATATAGTAATATGAATTGTAATATTGCCTGAGAAAGCGAGAGTGATATTTATGAGATGACCTTTGATTATGGTGATTTTTTATATATGTTTTGCCCATTCGTATTTAATCAGTATACTAACTCCATGACCAAAAGGATGTGTGTTGTTGATAGTAAAAATGTGATTATAAAAATTAGATTTTGGAAATAGGAATTTTGCTGATTGTTATTTAAGTTTTGTTTCTATAAGACAGAGGATGTCGATATTATTGGAGTAAAAAAATTGTAAGATATTGTCTGCTTTGCCTGGTGAGTTCAGGTCTCTTGTATTTAGGATGCATATTCTTAGTGTGTTTGATAATTTGATACTGATGTTATTGAAGGATGGAGAGTAAGTATTTGTTATATTATTATGTGTGCTATTTTGTAAAGATGGAATTGTCATAATATTGAAAGTAGATTGTGTTTTATTGTTGTTGTAAGAGTATATTGTTAATATTTTGTTCGAGTTGGAGTAATCTTTTACTGAGAGTATTGTATGATTCGTAGAGCTGTTTATTTTGATTTGTGAGTTCGTTGATTATGACATCTTTTTAATGTAGTTGATTGATGAGCTTATCAAAATGGAAAGTTTTGTGAGGAGTATTGATGGTGTTATCAATGAGTTCGTCATTCTGAATGAACATGTCATTGATGTTGTCATTATGATTATGTGAGATAGTTGTATCATCAAATTGTGTGTAAGTAGAAGTTTTTGAACTTGGTGTTTGAATGGTGAGAATGTTGAGAATTTTATCTAGCTTGGAATCAAGTTGTTGAAATTTTGCCATAATGTTGTTGATATCATTTCTAAGTGAGGTGATTGCATTACGAATAGATGAGATTGAGTTTAGAGAATTATCAATGGGAGTATTGTGAAAGTTATTAAGATTTGTTTGATTCCAAGAACATAGTGTAGGTGATCTCGTGTTATCAGAAAAATTAGTCTGTCTTTCTGTTTTTTTGGAATTTGTAGATGAATTTTGTAAGAGAGCTTGTTTGTATAATTTTTTTTTATAAGAGTAGGGATACTGATTTCTGGTTTACGAACTTTCAATTCTCTTTTTTGATATAACTTGTTTAGTTATTTGTATTGAATGGAACGGCGCAATTTACTCTTGCAAATTGAAGCTTGATGTCCTATTTTAAAGCACATATTGTATGTGATAGCTGTGGGTAGTTTCCAGTTTAGTTACGAATTTCTGAAAATAACATGTTGTTGCATGGCGAATGCAGCATCCAGTTCAAATTTGAAGAGGATCCAAGTGAAGTGTTGTCATTGATATTTGACAGGTGATCTTGGGATAAAACAGGATCTGGCTTTTATAGATGAGAGGAATTCATCTAGTTCATATACAGTGCATCCATATGGTAAGTTCATTAGCTTAAGTTTGTATCGCTCTCGAGTTATTATAGTTTAATATTGATTGGTAAGAGGAAGGATTTTAACTCAATCATTGTCTACGAGAATGAACCAGTGTGATAATGCATCATTGGCTTCATCGATGTTGGAGTAGCGTATTGTTGTATACTGTCATTGGTTAATAATTTTTTTCGGAGTTCCACTATGTGTCTGAATCTGGAGAAAACAGATCTTATAAGGCTTTCTTCAGTGTTGAGAGGGACATCTCTGAGAGCAATGATGTTGTTGATAAATTGATTGATTTCATGATTGGGATTGGTGTTGGAGAAATGTTGATCATAAATTGAGATTTGGAGTGCTTGATCTAATCCTTTTTGTGAATCGAATGAGATTTGAATAAAGGATTCAGAATTGAATGGAATAGATTTGGTTGATACATATCCAGGGATATGCGCTAGATGTTTGATTATGGTGTTTATTTTTTCTTGTGTGGATTCCTGTGGGAGAATTGATGCTTTGATCCACGCTTTGTGTGAGGTTTTACTTGTTATAGTAATCCATTCGTTGTTTTTTTCCTTGTTGTTGCCTAGTATGGTTAAGTTAGGTGTGTTTTTTATTTGTGTAGATGTAGTTTGATTTTTTTGGGGTGATTTGTTGATGAGTGGGAACATAGAATCTATGTCTTCCATGTCTTCCATATCATCAGATGAGATTTCAGATGAGATTTTGAATTAATTAGTTTCATTTTCAGATGCTGATGAATAATCAGCATATGATTATGAAGAGTTTTGAAGTGTTGGAATATTGTTGTTTAATGACATGCTGTGTGTAACTCATCTGTTTTCTTTGTTATTGTTGTTATACAGCATATGTCTGAATTTTTTCTTTTTTTTGCTGTTTTCCTGATTTTGATTGGTAGATTCCAGTTGAAAAGGATCTACTTCAGTAATTATTGCACATTTGAGAGATGAGTTGGAAGAAAGAATTGGAAGAGAAAAATTTGTTTGAGATATATTTTTTTGATTATTAGAAGTTGGAGTATTATTTAAAGAAGAGTTTGAAGATTATGTCATGATTGCACGTATTGGAGATAAAAGATTAGAAAGAATTTTAGTGTTTTTATGAGAATTATTTGTGTTTTTGTATTTTTTATGTTTTTTTGTAAGAAAAAAAGAAAAATAAAGAGAAAGTTGAAATAAAATCTATAGTAATATATGTAAAGAAATAATAAAGAAAGAGAATTTGTTAGTAAAAAAGATTGATTAATTAGTATATTATGTGGTTTTTTGTGAAATATATCCGCTCTATACTTTTGTCAAATTTTTGGAAAAATGATCAGCGGGCAGAGTTCGTTTAGTATACTTCGATTATTATTATTTTTTTTTATTTGCTGTAGTGTAGTCTTGTTTACAGAGTTATTTAATCTAGTATACAGATATGAAGAATAAGAAATTAAACTGAAAACCACCAATAAATTGCATTAAAAGCTATCGACGTGACTAGCCACCAGTGACCATTAGATGACTACACAAAGCTGAGGTTGTCCATCAAATTGTTGCTTAAAGTTTTCAATTTGATGATATTGATAATGTTAGTATTGCTATATAGAATGGGAGTGAATGCAGGAGGGCAATTGCCATTAATGTGTTCTTCTGGGAGAAATTCACAATCGCATAGAAATGGATTGGAAAATTTTTTGTATAGTGA